GATCCACCCACCCCTATTGGCTCCTAGGGCAGCCGATGGTCTGGCCCGTCTCCGCTAGCTCCTTGGAAGTGCCCTCCCCTCCGTGGAACGAGAAGGATCCTGACTCCTGCAAGGACGAGCCAATACCTATTAGCACATCCTCGCTCTCTAGGTCATCCCACTCGATGTCGTCGACTACCTCGTCATCGTCTTCCTCATCATCATCATCGTCGCTGCTGGTGTCCTCCCCTCGCTCCCGCACCTGTAGCCTCTGCTGCCTCTTCTTCCTCTTGTCCTCCTTCACCTTCCTTAGCTGCTCACCCTCGGTGTGATTCACCGCCCTCACGGACAAATCCCTTGGCAATGGAGCCAGGTGATCCATGAAGATGAGGTCCCTCGGCTAGTCCTGCCCCTCTCAATGTTAGTATCAAGAGGTCAGGAGATCAATTGAAGGGGAGGCATGAGGAGGGGTAACTTACGAAGATGGCATAGCCTGGTTCCGGTTGCATCGAAGGATGTCCTGGCACTGGGTAGATGAAATCAAGGGGGTGCCCACGTTGTCCCGCAAAGGCTCCATCGCCTCCTTAATGCTCTGCGCGACCTCGAAGTGGGAGAGCGCACCCTCGGCAAGTGTCGTCCCATTGAATGATGCCTCGGGCGCCATCGTGCACAGCGGGAGCGCGCGCCTCATCAACGGTGCCACCCTCCTCGCGTGGTAGGCCCCAATGATGCCCAACCCCTTTAGGCCGCTCTCCTTTAGGATGTGGATGGTGGCAAGGTGGTGCTAGATCTTCTTCTTGTCCTTTGAGACACCCCACTTCCTCCACGACTCCGAGGCCTCTTCGATCAGGCGCTTGGTGAACTCCGGCAGGGGGGCGGCGGTGTCATTCTTGAGATTGAACCACTGCGAATGCCACCCCTTGTTGGAGGTCGACAGCCGCATCAACGGGTACTCGCCGACCCAGTTGTTCCAGAGGTGGATGCCGGCGCATCCCATCGGCATATGCAGCTCCTGCCTGCCACTCTTCTCCCTCTTCTTCTAGAGGGTGACGGCGAAGAAGTGCCTCCATAGATCAAAGTGGGGACTGATCCCCAAGAATCCCTCACATAGGGCGACAAACGCCGCCATATGCTAGATCCCATTGGGATTGAGGTGCTGCAGCTTGATCTTGTAGTAATAAAGCTACACCCGAAGAAATTTGTGGGCGGGGGTCACAAACCCATGCTCATGGAAGTGGGCGAACGACACCACATAGCCATCGGGCGGCGATGGTAGCTCCTCCTCACCGGACAGCAACCACTCCTCGGTCGAGGTCCGTGCACGGAGAAGACCGCGATGGATGAGACCTTCCATGCGTTGGAAGGTAATGTCAGAGCGGCACCACGGATCCATTGGAGGTGGGGATGGTTCAATGCGGGCTCGATGGCGGTGGGGATACGAAGACGAGGAACCCTAGGTGATTGGCGGTGGCGGTCGTGGCTGCGGAGGCAAGAAGGCAAGCTATAGAACCCTGGGGGCGAACCCTTTGGTTTTATAGGGGCGACGGATGCGAGGAAACCAACCATCCGCCTGGATCTCCGCGCCTGCCACGATCTGCCACAACATCCCACCGCAGGAAGTGCGCACGCAATCTCTATCCACTCCCTCAAAAAGCTCGCTGGACGTTTCACCTTTCTAGACAGGCCACAACTCGTCACAAGTAAGAAGGATATAGATCAAAAACACCTCCACGGCCCGCCTGGGCCTAGGAGTTCGAAAGTTGGACCATCAACGAGTTCGACGACCGCTCTAGGCACCCTTAGGATAAGGGATGGAGAGAGATGGGCCCACAAGTGACCAGTACCCAGGCGCACGAGTGCCATGGGCATCTCGGACCACGATCGAGTCTCAGCCAGGTACGATCCATGGTTTTTTCCTAAAGAAAGGTAGGAAGCCCTCGGGCCCGGTCGAACGGATCCAAGAGCTTTGTGGATTGACCGCTGAGAAACTAAAGACTATTGCCAAGCTGACCCTAGCCGGATCCCCACGAACGGGATGCCGAGACCCCAATCGAACTAGCTAGCTAACAAAACCACCAAATCTCACAGCCATACCCGCGAAGGGTCCGACCTCTATAAGAGGGAATCACCGTCCCCAGGACAAGCCGTGGGCAACAAAAGAAGGCCAGGGCCCTCAGAGTCCTCCCTTTTGGAAAAACCTCCAAAGGAGTATTCTACTCCTCCGTAGGCACGGGGGCAACTGTCGGGGACCAATACTAGGATACCCGAAGAGGGGAGCTAATAACCATCAACGTTGACTCATGCGAAAGATCAAGAACGTGACTACAGCTCTTGCCGACCACCGAGGCCATGGGCTCTGCCTCGTCCGACCCCTGAGGGTGGCTTCGCCTCGCCCGATACCGAGGCCATGGGCTCCGCCTTGTCCGACCCCTGAGCGTTGGCTCCAGCTCTTGCCGACCACCGAGGTCGCGGGCTCCGCCTTGTCCGACCCCTAAGGGTGGCTCCGCCTTGGGCGACCCCTGAGGGTTGGCTTCGCCTCGCTCGATGTCTGAGGGCTGGCTCCACCTCGCCCGACCCCTCGGGCACGGATCCTAACGGAAGCTCACGCTGCCGCCAACCACTACGGGCCAGAAAAGTACAACCCAAGGTCAAACTTCTGGCATCGTGCAGGGAGCGGTCACGTCTCAACATGACCCGTCCCTACGACATGTCATTCTAGGGAACTCACATCGCCCACAGTGACAGACACGTGGTCACTATGCTGCCTACTCCCTGTACAGCTGCTGATCAGCATGCTGGTTCGTCGCGCCGCCTGCCGAGGCGGAGTGGGACGTCATGACCCGCTGACAATGCCAGGGCATGGCATCATCGGCGGATAGGCGCCTGACATGGAGCTATCCCTGTCACCACTTGTCGTGTCAGCAGGACCGCGCAAAGGAAAAGAAAGGCCCGACGACCGTGAAGGACTTTCTCTCTCTCTCGTTCTCCTCTTTTCTCTCGTTGTAACCTGTGCTTTCCCTTGGCCTATAAAAGGGGAAGCAAGGCATCCCATTAAGGGACATCAGAGCATCACACCGCATCGTATCACACATCAGATCAAAACCACTAGCATCGAACCTCGAACACATAGCCAAGCAGCGACTGAGCTCTCGGTACCCATTCGTTCTTTCCTCAGAGACTTGGGACTCGTCCCTCTCTCGACCATTTGTAACCCCTATTATGAACTTTCAGTGCTAGTAACATGAGCAGCAGCAACGAACTGGACGTAGGGACATTTTGCCCAAACCAGTATAAACCTCGTGTCCTCTTAGCACACCATCCGGGCCAGACGTGCAATAATACAAATTTACTCGTTGGTGTTTACTCGAAACACAGACAATGATACACCGCGGCTCTATAGTTGCCACGTGGTGGAAAATTATGCACTGACCCCCCCTAAAAAATATGCCCCCTGAACAGATCAACCCCTGAACCGAACCACCTCCCACCTGCGCTGCTCTCCAACTTCCTCCCTACTCAGGCGCGCTGTGCCCCTGCAAGAACACGAGCCTGAACTTGTACTTCACTAAGAACAAGCACATGCCGGTGACCAACTGCATCTTACGCGTGGGGGCGGTGGCGGTCTTTGGTGACGGACGTCCTCTTGCGACGCAAGAAATCTGAAGTGGTGCGCTTTCACTGGCGTGGATGACGTGGCCTAAAATGCAGCGCTGCAGATGGAGGACGAGGAGGGCAACCTGGGCACGGCGCTCGGGAGGCACATCACCACGCTGGGTCCATAGGGTGCTATCGGTGTCCGAGATGCTCCATGAGCACGTGCAGTGCTTTGGCGAGGGGCTCGAACTGTATAGGATATATATATATATATATATATATATATATATATATATATATATATATATATATATATATATATATATATATATATATGTCGGTCGAGGCTGAATGAAATAAACGCTAGTACGCGGTGACCGGCGGCCTGACCTTGAGCATGCTTCACCACAAGCCCCTGGGCAGTACGTCGTCGTTCCGTTCTACCACGTCGCAGACGATGATATTGCCCCTCACCTCGGCACGCTTCAGCGATGGTGCCGCCCGCGGTGGATGGCACGTGCGTGACGTGTCCTTCGTAGTCCTGCGGTGACGATAGGTTCGCCTGGTTCGCGTGCTGGCCGGCGCCCGACGCCCAGCACGGCGAGGCACATGGTGTTGGTGTCGAGCAGCGCGATCGACCTGCTGACGATGACGCAGAGGATGAGCGGCCCCAGACCGCCGAGGGCGCGGACGCCTCCCTGGGCAGGAAGATGAGGTCGCCGCGGCAGATCGCCTAGAGCTCCACGGAGAAGGCGTCCTTGAATTTGTTAGGACCGTGGAGGAGTGTGGAGGTGTAGGGCCCCGCAACAGTCACAGGCACAGGCATCGCAGAGGCCCTGCCGTGGGGACTTCAGGTACGAGGAGCACGCTGGGCAGCGCACCACGTCGGAGTGGCGCCAGCATCGACACGACCAACAGCGACGCCAACATCGCCATGAACAGTAGCGGCAGCTTCGTCTTCTCCGTCGGGGACTGATCTGTTTAGTGGGCATATTTTTTAGGGGTTTCAGTGCATAATTTTCTGCCACGAGGCAACTATGGACCTGCGGTGTATCATTCAACAAGTTTATGTATCCAGAAATGCATTTTCAAAGTTCAAGACCTAAATGGCACCCACGACAAGTTCAAGGACCTCCCGTGCATTTAACTCAAGTTTAAACTTCCCTCTCTTGAATTCTAGAATAGAAAATAGAATAACCATTTCTGCTCGGTTAAGGACCTTTACAAATTATCTCCTATATAACTTTAGATGGACTGTACCTTTTCTGTCACAGTACCAGCTTTGTACATGGGGCACAGGTACATGCGATCTTTGTATCATGGGTCATGCTTGGCTCTGTGTATGCCAACGTTGGGGCAAACAAAAAAAAGAAAAAAAAGCAAAATAATTTGGCAATCATCAATCTTTTACTCACACCTGAAAATCTTCAAACCCAATCAATGCCGTCTAGATCTTCAGTTCTCACACTATGTACATCATCGCCTGTTGAGACAGACAATTCAGAAGACGCTGCTCAAAAGCCAGTTATCTCACATCCCTGAAGCTAACAACAACTAAAATCCATCTACAAAAACAATAACGAAAATCCTTCGTTGGCTCACGTCTTTTTTGCATTAGGAAAAACAAAATATACAAACTGTGGTCAACAAGCACTCATGCATTGATTTGGCATGCTACTCAATGTTTCTTCAGTAACATAACAGTAAGGTAAAAAAAAGGCCGCACATTATTGTTTCACCTCCTGTTCATCTCAGAAGAGATGCTATATATATTATTACAATGTCTGATTAAAAAGGGAGCTAATAATAAAAAAAAAATCAGCAAAAGAAATTGTCCATTGACAGAACTAATCATGGCATTGCTTACAGATTGAGTTCAACAGAACTTTTCTAATCGCGACGGCCAAGACCAAAACCAGGAGGCACCTAAGCAGTGACATGGATGCAGCGGCCTTGATCAGGGGCCTAACAATGGTGCTAGCAGAGAAGGTGAGGCCACGTATCTCAATGAAATGGTTCATCAGCAGCTCACGCTCAGCCTGTGGCTGGTAGCTCTGCTCCTTGGAAGACGAAGAATAACTGCTGCTTCCTCCTCCTCCTTCCCTGGTGGCCTTCTTCTTCAGCAGCTCAGGGCTTGGTCCTTCGAAGTTACTCTGCCGCTGCGGCGTGATGCCGCCGTCGAGCTTTGCGTGGATCTCGGCTAGTATCTGGGAATGTGCGTCGCCGACGGACAAGGTGGATTCTCTTAGCTTTGTGAGCTCTGTTTGGAGAGACTGCACGGTGGCCTTGATCTGCTCGATGTCGGCTTCCAGCGCGGCGGCGTTGCTCTTGCACGATTTCTCGTCTTCCTCGGCGATGATCTCTGGCGAGACCTTGCCTGCTGAGTGCACGCCGCATTGCGCGGAGTAGCTCGGCGCGCGCCGGAGGAGGCGGTGGGAGGCCGACCGGTGCAGCCTGAGCGTTGGCGCCGCCAGATTGACCGTCCTCGCCGGCCTTCTGTCGCCGAGCGTCGACTTCTTGCCGGCGTCCGTGTCGACGACGACGTCGAGCTCCGAGCAGAGCTCCTCCAGGTGTGCCGCCGGGAGGGACGCGTTCCTCCTGGATGCCACGGTGCCGTTCTTGGCCAGCTTCCGCAGCCAGGGGAGATCGACGGCCGCGGCAGGCGAAAGGGGGTTGTCGTCCCCGGTGGCCTGGACGGCGAGCAGCCTGCGGTTGAGCGAGCTGATCTCCATCTCCTGGTGGAAGACGACGGCCTTGAGGAACGCGAGCGTGTCCTCGTCGTGCTGGATCCGCTCCTCCGCCACCCGGCGGAACTGTTCTGCCTCCATGCGCTCCGCCGCCCTCTCCGCCTGCAGGCGCACGATCATGGCCAGCGCCTCGTCGGCCCCTGACGCCGCCGCCTGCCGCTCCTCCTCCAGCTCCGCTCGCAGCTCCTCCACGGCCTGCGCCTGCTGCCTCAGGGCCTCCCGCAGCGCCGCCACCTCGCCTTCTTCCTCAACTCCGGCCATCGTCGATTCGGTTCCACAGCCACGGGATCTTCAGAGCGTCAAGTGAGTAGTAGTAACTGATTTCAATCAAGCGATTAAGAGAGGAGAAAGATTTGCACTAACACAGAAATGACAAATCAATAGACTAGTGGCTGCACTGCACACCTCTGGAAATAACGGAATCTTCAGAGAAAGCAAAAAATATATATGATTTAGGATCACTGGATTATGACAAATCTTGCTTTTTGGCTGGCTCGTCATCAGCAAAAGAATCCAAAGTGGACGATGACAAGCCGTCACGTAACCGTGTGTTTATCCAAATCCGAAAGAAAAGAAACAAGAAGGAAGACAAGGCACCGACCTTTGAGAGAGACCGTGTTGCTGAACGGACGCCAGAAGCTCCGATTTTCCAACGAGGATGAATGATCTTCAAGTGTCAATAATTGGCAACTTTAGGAGCATAAACTAATCTTTTTGTTAACTGTCATTGTGAAAGGGGCAAGAAGAAAGCTGTAGTGCCAAAAGAGTGGCTTTAATCCATTGGCTTCATATATAAGGTACCCATTCAATTTTGTTTAAATAATTTCCTTGATTTGTTAAATTACATTAGCCGGCACAATCATTTCCCAGTTCCTCCAAAATCTGTCAGTCTGGCCTCAAATAAAATATGAAAGATTCAAATTAAAAGGAAAAAAACTGAATCAAGTCATTAGTCAAGTCGATAGGAACTGTGGCCCCCCACATATGAGTCTCCGGTGATGGGTTTCATCTGTTTCAATGGATTTGGACAGGGCCACTTGTTTTTATAAACGACCGTCACGAGGAAACCAAAGCAAAGGGTGGGGTGGCGCGAAGGACGCAAAGATGGAGGCGCCGACAGGCCAGTCGGCAACTGTCATGTGGCCGTACGGCATTTTTCAGTAGGTTGAAAATGTTGAATTTAAGTATTGGAGTGTCACGTTGGCTGTTATATAAAAGTGTCGAACGTGGTATTCGGCTAATAAAAAAAATAAATTATAAATTCAGTCAGTAATCGTGAGATAAATTTATTAGGCCTAATTAATCCGTTATTAGCATATGTGTTACTGTAGCACCACATTGTCAAACCATGGCCTAATTAGGCTTAAAAGATTAGTCTCGCAAATTAGTCGCAAACTATGCAATTAGTTATTTTTTTACTCTATATTTAATACTCCATGCATGTATCAAACATTCGATGGGATATGGACTAAACTTTAGGGGAACTAAACAAGGCCTTACTTGAAATGCGACGGGGTGACTCTTTTGTCAAATATTCTCATTGGCGAGTTTGTTTGTCTTTTGAAACAATAATCCTGTCCTCGTTCCCATAAAACTGTCATATTGAGAAGATGACTCACTTTTTTAACTTCAGCAGTTCTCCAATAACTCTTTGGCCATCAAAAACATCACTTCTCCCTTCAAATGAAGAGGAGTTGTATCTCGGTAAAATATTCAATACAAACCACGTCTTCGGTGCAATCGTGAAAACCCTTTGCAAAACCATACTCAGGAGTTTTCAAAAAAATTGAAAATATGCACACCAATAGTGTTTTGTCCTCTAGTGCATATGCACATGAAATTGCTATTTTCATATGAATTTTTGCAAAACGAGTTTGAATCTCAAACTTTGTGACAATGCACATATCTATAGATGCACTGTTGGTGTGCATAGTTTTAAATTTTTTAAAAACTTCTAAGTATGATTTTAGTAGGGTTTTCATGGATTGCACATAAGATATGGTTTGCACCGCATCTCACCCATAATGACTGTCACTTTTCTCCTCTTGCACACCGGAGCTCATCTGCCGCCCTGGTGCTGCCGAGCTCTCTAGGCGTGGCCGTGCTCGAGAGCGCAAGGGGAGCGGAGATGGAGGAAGAGGCGGTCGCCGTCGGTGCTGCTGGGCTCGCGATGCTGGAGATGGAGATGGAGGAAGAGCTCGAGGCGGTGCTCGCCGAGGCTGTCGGGCTCGCGGAGGCCGCGGCCGCAATGCACGCGCCACCCGCTCCTCCACATCGTGCCGCGCCAGGAAGGACGGCGGCGACGCCTCCCTTGAGCGGTGGTGGTGCTGGGATCCAGGAGTCGCCAGAGATTCAGCCACCTGCGAGCCTAAACCATGTGGTAGTGCTGCTGGGACCCAGGAGTGGTGGAGATCCAAGAGCTACTGGAGATCCAGCCACCTGTGAGCTCCGAGAGGTGGTGGTGCTAGGACGAGGAGCGTAGACCGCAGGGAGGCCAAGGAGCCGGGACAGCGGGGAGGCAGGCGGTGGTGCTGGGAGTAGCGCGCTGCGAGCAGGCCGAGAAGATGGAAGGTGGCCGGGAAGAGGAGAAAGAGAAGGGAAAGGGGAAGAAGACACATATGATAAGTAGGACCTACTTATTATTGGGGGAAGATATTTGGAGCATCTTCTCCAATATCCTCAAAAATGATATTGAGCCACCCACATTATCATCTTATTTTTGGGAGTTCTTTTGGAGAACTATTGGAGATGTTCTTATACATGTAAGTAAAACTCATAACACCGTCATCCTGTTTAAAAAAATTGTTTTGATTCTGTCATGGCCATGTGCTAGTAGTTAAATTTAGCCTTTTTATTTAGACCATACAACCCCACTAGTTTATGAACTTTCTTAGACTATCTCCAACGACGGGAACCTCAAGCAGAGACCCATTCTATGATTTACGTCGCCTACAATAAAAGGGCAGCACACCCAAATCTTTCATTCTCCAACAGCGACCGCAAAAAAAACGCGAGCGAGCAGGCGGCGGCGGGGGGCGGAGCGAGCGAGCAGAGCGCGCCGGCTGGGCGAGCGGCGGGGGCTGGGTGGAGCTCGAGGGCGAACTAGATCTGGACGGGGAAGCAGCAGGCCTCGTCGCCGGCGCCTGGGCGGAGCTCGAGGGCGGAGCTCAAGGCCATGGTCGCCGGGAGCAGCGGTGGCCTGGGCGAGCAGCAGCGCACCTAGGCGAGAGGGGTGGCGCACCTCGCGCGGATCTGGGTGAGCGGCGCGCATGGCGGAGGCGGCATACCTGGTCTTCGCGGGGGCGGCGCGCATGGCGGCGGCGGCGCTCCTGGGTGAGTGGCAGCGGCGGCGGGCTGGCGAGCGGCTTTGGGTGCTTGGTTTCGCACGGCAGGGAGGGCAGAGAAGAGGCTTTGGGTGGCTCCCTCTCCCCTTCCGGTCAGCTGCCTCGACGTCCGCGCAGATGGCCCCCGCGCGGAGCTTCTAGGGGCAGGCGCGCCTCGCCGTCGTCGTTCGCTACAGTTTTGCGTCGTGGAGAATGAGGACGCTTTTTTGCCTACCGATTCACATGGTACGCAAAATGGCTGGTTGGTTTGCGTCCTCTGTTGGAGCATATTTTCGGGACGCAAATCACTGTGCATAGCACATTTTGCGTTTGGGTCGCTCTTTGCCTCCACCGTTGGAGACGGTCTTAGGTGACCCGGGAGCATCTCCAGAAGAACTATAATCCCACCCTCATTAGCTAAATATAGGGATTGGGTTTGCAAAAACACCCCTCTAGGCTCCACATCCCTTCCCAAACATAGAGAGCTCCCAAACCAGCTCCTTACCTAAATGTAGGGCACCCAAACAACCACAGAACAGCTGGAACCTTCCAGTTAGTGATTCAGGATAGAAGATTATTTCACAAACATTTGTTGAGCAACATCCAACATGGGCTCGGCTTGCACCTATTACCGAACAGGGCTTGGATAGCATAAGCAATGATAGATATTTTGAAAAACTATTTCTTTTAAATTTTTTCAACTAAAAATAGTGGGCACAACCCGTTATTTGACAGGAAAATTCATCCCAAAAATCTTTTGCTTTTTTTTCCCAGCCAGACCCACGAAGCACAAAATAGAGAGTTACTCCCTCTGTCCACCAAAAAAATACAACTACGGGTTGCGTACCATTAAAAGTGGTTCATATTTAACCAAATTGTTAATAAATACTATTCACATTTACAGCTTCAAAATAATTTATTATAAAATATATTTCGTAATTCATCTAATGATATTTATTTGATATCATAAATATTGATAGTTTTTATCTATAATTGATTGAATTTAAGATACTAAACTATAACACTGTGCTAGAATTGTTAGCGGAACATAGACTTACCCTTTTTATCTCACATCGTACAAGTCATTGTTTTGACTGATTTTTTTTCGATTACACAATACAACTCAGACACTCACAACGTATGGACACTCACTCATATGAACGCACGCACGCAAACGTACCCTATGAGCATCTTCGAAGACTAGGCCGACAAATCCTAATGGTTCTTCTAGACTAACAAAACGTTTCAAATAATTCCACACAGCTCTTTAGATTGTGTTTTGCTGGTTTAGAGCAAAAAAAAATGTTCTTCAAAAAATATTTGCAAATGTCGGCTAGTGAGGAAGCCATTTTCACCATTTTTAAGAAAATCGCTCCAGTGGTGTCTAGATTGTGACAACATGCTCCTTTGGTCGTGGATCAAAGTATATATAAAAAGCTAAGGGTGTGACGACGCCAAGCTGTTTTGATTATTGACCAAGGTTTTTTCAAAATCGTAGATTCTAGTTAAACATGATATCTTTATGTAAGATCAGAATCATTGAGTCTAAAACACAAAAACTGTATAAACATAGATTCTATTGACTAGTATCCTAGAACCACACCTTCTAATTCTGATCATAAAAACAAAAAATCGGACTATAGAATCAAGATTTTGGCAACCATATTCTTAACTCCGGCGAGTTGAAGAAGCCAAATACAAGGACTATATTGTAACGGTTTTGCATCAAAATATTCTTGGAGACTAGTTTATAAGTAGTTTCTACAGAATAAGGGCCTGTTTGGAATGCGGAATTTTTTCCCCATTCCTGCGTTTTTCATGTGAAATTGAACTGATTCCTGTGAAATTCCTGTGTGATTCCTGTTAAATTCCTGCATTTCAAACAGGCCCTAATAAAATTGTTTCGCATTAATCCTGGAACCTACAAATTTTACTGTCGCTTGGACGACCCACCAATTCCCTTCAAACAAGGTTCAAAATTCTCTTCCTCGGATAAGAAAGAATAGAAACAAAGAAAGAATAAAATTAGTGGGAGGCAACTGAACGGTTCACACGGCGCCAAATGCCAATACACAGGGCAGCAATCTCTCTATTCGCAAAAAAGAAAAAGGGCAGCAATCTCTCTCTCTCTCTCTCTGCACAGGAGTACAGGACTATCCAATCAGAAAATCAGAAAGTAGTGTTTTCGATTGAGGTTGAAGCTTTACACAAGTGCTTGAAGCAAGTTAGAATTACGCAACAAATCAAGATCAATATAAATTACACAAGGACCAAGATGGTAACAACAACTACACTGATTTTCCACATCAATCAATCAATCGTAAAAAGATCACAGAAATTTCATATAAGTTTCCTCTATGTGAAATTGTCCGAGGACAAAAACAAGAAAGGTAAAAAAAAAAAAAGAATTCATGTGGACTCCACAACAGTCCTGAAACGTTTTAGTCCACGTTTAGTTCCAAAAAGTTTTTTCAAAAAGTGCTACAGTAGTCATTATATCGAATCTTGCGATACGTGCATGGAACATTAAATGTAGATGAAAAAAAACTAATTGCACAGTTTGGTTGGAAATTGCGAGACGAACGTTTTGAGTCTAATTAGTTCATGATTGAACACTAATTGTCAAATAAAAACGAAAGTGCTACGGTAGTCAAATTTCCAAAATTTGACCAACTAAACCTTAGTTAAGTATACTGACAGATAGCTGGACTGCCATTTACACACCACGACATATTGATATGATATATGTATATATAACAAACAAATCGAGAAACCAGCACACTAATACCCGTAAACTCGGCTCGGAGCAGATACTGACTGACGTTTAGCTCATTTCATCAGAAGCTCAGGGCTGACAGAGCAACGCCACAGCCCAAGGCGAGCGCCAGGACGGACGCCACCGCCGGCACCGGGAGCACCGCCGCGCCGTTCTTGGAGCCGTGCGGCCTTGTCACGGCGCCCCCGCCACCCACGTTCCGCCCACCCGCGCCTCCACCCGCACCCGCGGTGCCACCGGCGCCGGCGCCTCCGCCGGCGCTGCCACCCTTGTGCCCGGTGGTAATCCTCCTGTGATGCTTCAACTCCACTGTGCTCTCCGCCTCATGCCCAAGCCCAAGCTTCCGGCTGGGACTCTGGATTTCCAGGTGGTCTTTCATATCGCCTTCAGTTCATGAACAAGCCAACCAGTTTCTTAGTCAGAGAGACGTGTTAGAGGATAATTTGACCAATCATGCACGGCAATGATTCAGGGACCAATTAAGAGAAAAAGAGAGAGAGAGAGAGCAAAACTGACCGTGCAATTGTTCTTGCACCTGGAGATGAGGCCTGAACCGATGACGCGCTGTGGAAACTCCGGCGATTCCCTCAGCTGATGCTGCACACCGTGAGACCTGGGAGGCAAGGGAGAGGAGGACCAAGATGGAGATGGCGAGGACGGTGCTGCTTTTTTTCATCTTGATGATGAGATGGACAGGACGCCAGAAGCAATTCATCAGCTCTGAATCTCTGATGCGGAGGAGTGTCCCCCGAGACTCTCTTCTTATAACTCCTGCAGTCTGCAGAGTAGTAGCTGCTGCTGCTGCCAATGCCAAGATAAGGCAAGCAACAGATTTGGCAAGACGGCACCTGATTCCATTGTGCCCTTTTTTTCTCGACGGTAGACATTCTTAAAAAAGATCAGCAAACCACGTGAATGGATCCGTTCTTTTGTTCTTGTTACACACCATTGGGTTATACTGGTATTTAAAAAACAAAATTAGGATTATTAGGGACAGTTCAGGTCTAATGGGACCTAAATCCCAGCAAAGGTTGCTGATTCTGGCACTTCAGTTTTTTCTTTTGTTTCAATGCCTTTGGGCACTAATGATGTGCTGCTAGGGAAAAGAGGAACATATGGAACAGCAATGTACAGATTTAGCGGCTTTGTTGCATGTGGTGGGTGCTCCATGGACCATGGCCTTTGCTTGCCAGATCTCAACCAAAATATAGGATAAAGCCAGCCAACTGGATTTCATTTTTTGTCAGTCACTGACTAGTACAAACGGAGGGATGGGATACATTGTCTACTCTTTTCATTCTGTTATATGTAGTTTTCAATGAATTGTAATGCAGATGAAGAACAAGAAAAAGGATGGCCACATGCATATATGCATATGGTTTCCAGCATAACACGTAAGAAAATTAGTTGAATATTTGAGTGGTGCACGACAAGTCGACAAGACTAGCTCATGGCTATGATTGAGAACGATTTAACTGACAAGTTTTATAAAGTCATAGTCATTCTTAACCTTGAATGAAAAGGATAATAATTTAAAGTTTACATTTGTTGTGGCCAGCACGCGCGCTGAGGCTGTCCACGTCGTCTGCTTTTCGTGGCCGTTCGATCGGCCGTGCGGACGGCCCAGATCGGGCGAGCCGCGGTCATTTTTCAAAAAAACCCTTCTTTTTTCCGGAAATCAACCCGCGCTCCAGAGTCCCTCTCAGAATATTTTGCAAAAAACACCTCAGACTATTTTGAAATCAACCCGCGGTCCAGAACGGATGGCTGCCGTTTTTTTTCAAAAAAACCCTTATCTTTATCAAAAATCAGCCCGCGCTCCACAAACCCTCTCATCATTTTTTGCGCAAACCTCCTCGGATTTTTCTCAAATCAACATACAGGCCAACTTTGCTTATATCTTTTTTTTTCCAAAAAAAACGTGTGGCCAGTGGCCCGCGCGCATGGGCGCGCCCGAAGTACTAGTGTGATATCAATGAGCGAAAGGGAAGGTAAAGCTGGTCTTTTCAGGGAAGATTTCAGTCTTCCCCACGGAGGAAGGCATTGAATTTCCATTTCTCAGTTCTGCTCTGCAGAAGAGGAATACTTTTGGGGATTAGATTAGATTAGAATTGGAGCGACTCTCTTATCTCTGCTACTCCCTCAATTTTAAATTATAAGTCATACTAAAGTTTGACTAAATTTATATAATAAAATAGTAACATTTATGATACTCAATAAGTATCATTAGATTATTCATTAATTATATTTTTTATAGAATACTTATTTGATGTCATAAGTCTTTGTAATTCTTTTCTCTATAATTTTGATTAAACTTGAGATGTTTTGACTCTCTAAAAAAATTGATATGACTTATAATTTGGAACGGAGAAATTACAAAAGATGCAAATAGTCAGACAGATCCCAACTGGCCGAAAGGTGATGCGAAACAACGCATCGGATTGTGGTGCAGATGTCATGAACATGGCTAGCATTCTGGTAACGGCATCGAGCGGTCACAGTCGGGTGCAGCATAGGGCCAGGAAGATGACACCCAAGAACAAAAGATGCCTTACAATCAGGGTCGAATAAGCAAACCATGTTACGTGTGCACAGGTTATGTCATTATTCGAGGATGATCCAAAGCACAATAGTATATGGATAAGACAAATGGACCATTCACCAAGAACTAAGATGCTATGAACTGATCGTTGGCGAGTTTTCGTCCAGAAAATTCCTCGTACAAAATGTCGTTTTGATTTCTGGGACGACAAAATATCCACTATGTTCTCAGAACCAAATAGAAAGCTAAAACATCTCTTGCAAGCCTATATAGGCAATAAGGTATATTAAAACCAACGTACTACTCTTCAAATAACTGGAGCACAACCATCTGTACAAAATGTTATCCAGAGAAACAATTCAAACCACACATTATTGCGACTATCTGCGCCCACATACACACAATCTAAATCATATAGGTCAAAGGACCTGAGGCATAGCCTGAGACTATAATCATATCTGAAATACATTTGTCTGGAACCTCTCGTCGTATAACTGCCAGTGGCCGTACCTCCCCATGTGGAAGGAGGAACGAGGTATGTAGAAGTTGGGCTTCACTAGCGTCACCAGATTCTTCAGATTAGCAGCAGCCTGGTCTATTCCCAGGTTTGTAAGATTTGCACAGCCAAACAGGTCCAGAACCTCCAGGTCTTTGCATCCTTCAGGGATAGAGCTGAGGCCGACAGCGGTCAACTTTGAGAACCTCAGTTCAAGATGTTTCAGCTTTGGCATGAACTTGGATACTGTAATGGCTTCCCTGTCACCATCTTCGGGGCATTCTCTTAAGTAGTCCTCAGGAACTATTCCGACATGCTCTGATGGATCGATCCAGTTGAATATGTTGCGCTTGAGGACCCTGAGGTTCTGGCAGCTCTGGCCAATCACCTCTAGTGACTTGTATGAAACCTCATAGCAGTTGCTGATGTCCAATTCTGTAAGCATGGGGCAGCATGCTCCGACAGTGACCATTGATCGATCAGTTACTGCCGGGCTAGTTTTGATGGAAAGGATACTAAGTCTTGGAGACCTGCACATGATTAAGTCACTTGAGAGCTCACAGTAATACTTTCAATTTCGTAGTTGGCGATGTTAAACGCTTGAGGGTTGGTTACGTGGTGTCCAATGTGGCTTCTGCTAGGCTTTTATGTTTCGTTTGCAACAAACTCTTGTAATTTCGTTGCTGTCAAGTAATGAAATTTGGCTATGCCATTGTGGAAAAAAAGAGTAATACTTTCAATTGAAGTGAAGGAAAAATGGTAAAAAGAGTACCTAACTCATCACAATGAAAAAAAAAAAATCAAGCAAAAGAAATAGCACCAGAATGACTCACTCATGGAGCAAGCAAAAGCCAAACAAAAAAGGGCACTAGGAACTACTCTAGGTATATGGACCTGTTACTGAGGTTACATTCCCAACAAGAACAGTCAACAAGCTAGAACAGATGTACAACTAAGAGGGGTCAATCTAAAATAGCTAGCTACGCAGGATTTGACCCATGTTACTTTAAATCAATTGAGATAACTCTGTGCTTCTCACATAAGATATAGAAAAGAAAACAATTATTGGTTTCACCACAAAAAAAGAAAAGAAAACTAGAAAGGAGTATCAGTATTTAAACAGATACCATTGTATTTACACAAAAATCTTATAATAATAACATATGTTAAATTTGCTTCGTTGTGAATATAATAAAGCAATACCAATTTAGATACTTTTGTGCATATTGATGTCTTTGTTTTCCCAGAACATATTATAAAACTACTGAAACTTGCATTCACAATCACACGATTCGTATAACAAGCCCCCATCCAGGATAGTCTAAACCTTGCAACAAATGGAATATGCGTATATTACAGCAGAAAAAGATGCATTGTATCTCAGGCCTGTACACTTGTGTGGTAGTCCAGGTTAATATCTACTTTTCAAGTTTCTGGACATACTACTTGAACCACCTATTGAAGTGACCTGAGCAATGTTCTTAAAGCGTTAAGGCGAGGTGTGGTGACCCACCACCCTCTTATCACCTAGGCTCTTAAGGCGATGCAGGAAGGTGAATAAATCAGAGAAGAAAAAGAAAATATGCCCCTCCAGGCCATAACAATAGCAACAAATGAGCTCATTAGCCTACTAAAGCCCAACCCAAGCCAGCATCCCACAAAGACCTCCCCTCTGTAACACCCTAGGTGTTAGCCTTGCATAACTTGACTTGCATAGCATGAGCATGAGCATCGAGCATTCATATATGAGCATTTACAATTGAAACATGAGATTGAAACATATGCAACATTGCTTGTTATTTCATGTTTCTTAGAATATAAGCATATGATCATGAGTGAATACATGTAAATGATTGTGTGACCTTGCAAATAGCTTAAACATGTTTAGAGTATCATTATGAACAACTTTGGTTTTCATGGCTAGGGCTAAATGGATCACTAAGTCATAGTTCATGAACAAGTCATCATTTGAATGTACTAGGTTTGACCATGTTTGAATCATATGATAGAGGCTAGGCATGTATGTGGTCACTAAAACAAAGTTGTAGTAATTGTCATGGAGAACAACTTTTATTTTTGGGTCAGGAGATAATAAAGTGCATAGCTTAGTCTTTTGGAGCTCACAAAAATCAACAAATCACAGATTTCAACACTTAGCAATTTTCACCAAGTCCTTTGTAACTGACAGACTGACAAGCTCACATTGGGGATGATATAACTCGGTTTTGTTTGCGAATTAGCACATGATTCTTTAATAAGAAATGGAGCTGGTACATAGGTATACAAAAGTCGTTTAGGTCATTTGCACGATGGAGCTACGGTTTAGCAGTTAAATCGTCGTCAATTCACGCTGTCAGGCTTGCATCGCGGTTTCTGAATCAACTGAATCGAACAACTCGGTGGCCGACCGTCGCAGAGCTCGCGCGCCGCGTGGAGCCGAAACAACGCCCGCAGCGTCCACCGGTGTCTGCCAGTAGGCCGTGTCGGGTCAAGCGATATATCGCGGCCCCGCACCCACGCTTCCATCCATCCGCGCTCACCATTTCGCTTTTTCTGGCTCCTCGCCCGCTTTGTCGCAGAATCAACAGCAGCAGAAGCAGTAGCTTCGCCCGCCGTCGATTGCCGGTCACGCTTGCCTCGCCTCGCTTCTCCGTCACGCAAAGACTCCACCGCCACC